TCTGTCCACGGTGGACCGGTCTCTGCTGGAGGATCTGGGTCTGTCCATGGTGGACCGGTCTCTGCTGGAGTCTGAGGTGAAGGAGGTTCTGGTGAACCTGCATGATTTCATCTGGTTTCACCAGAATCCGACCCGGTGGCTCCGATGACAAGCATTAAGAATAACTCTATAGAAATAGACCATCTTCTCTCTGATGGTCTCTCTACTGATGGAGGTCACATAGAGGATCAGGACTAAACTGAGACTGGCTCAGGACCAGATAAAAGTTCCTCACAGTGACTTTAACAAACCATTTACACTGAGGGGACAAAATACATCACATACGGTCTTAATTCACTTCAGTGAACCTGGACTTAACACTACTGATAAACCTTGAGGGCTGGTTCCCCAAACAGAGAGTGTGCATTGTCTTGAACTAAAACAAAACTCTATTCAAGTGAATTCACTATTAACTAAAATTGTAATTGTCTAGGACTGGACAGGCAGTCCAGATCGTTTGGTTTTTACTGTCAAAGAGAGGCTGCTAGTGTGCGGTGTGTATTTCGTCTGCGACGACATCCCACCTGGAATTCGGTGCTGGTGTTGCCGATCTGATTGACGTTGGGCAGAGAGCCGTAGTACTGCGCCCGTGATTGAGTCAGACGAAGCTGCTGGACCTTCTGAAACTGCACCTGTCAGTCAAAAGAGGGACAAGAACAACAGTCAGAGGTTACGGATTCTGCACATCTGGAGTCTTCATGTGTAAAGAACATAAAGCTTCAGGATGAAAGTCACAATTGGTGTCGATTAGGGCTTTTCTTTTCCGCCATTGTCATTGCGAATGTAGAGAACGCAAATGTTGTAACGATTACCTCACAGAAAACAGGAGGCGTGTTCTGCCAGGGGACGGTAAACAGAGCCTGTTATCAGGGGAAAGGCAAATCAGAGGGGTTTTTCTTCTTTAGACGGCCCAAAGGGCAACATTTGAATCTCAAAGACTGACCTGATTTGATTTTATCAATAGATTTACAGGGAACAGAGAGAGCCCTCTCATGGGGGAGGGGCTTTATCCTTTGGTGCAACATTTGTCCGTTCATTTGGTGAAGTGTTAACTACAGACACATTGTGTTGATTTATGCAGCACTACGTGCATTTTATCTCGTTTTCCAGCAAATAATAATCTTTTAATCAATCCAATGTGTCAGCATTCATGGACAGCTGTGGCTGGTCGACAGTTCAGACAGTTACAACTCAAACAACCACCACTCAAGAGCCACTTGAGTGTCTCAAGTTGAGACACTCATTAAAAACATCAGAAATGAAAGATAATCACTGAGCTTATTGTTTCGCTGTGAATGTATTTTAAAGATTTTGGAACTTCTTGTATCGATGCTCGTTTAAATAGAAGTTAAATGAAGCAATGTTGATTCTTTTCTTAATTAACGGCCTTTTTCCCCTCACAAGATGATCAAAAAGAACCGATAAGAGGATCGATTAGGAACCGAACCGATAAGCAGAAAACCTCCTAGATTACTCGACACGCGCTTTGAAGCCTCGGCACTACGGACGGGTATCGTTAGTGTTTCATTATTACTAGTACGCTTATCGGTTCTTTTTGATCATCTTGTGAGGAGGAAAAAAGGCCGTTAATTCATTTGAGACGAAGAGATCTCACTCCGTAACTGTTTTAAGTACCGATAGCAGAACCGTTAACTCCGGACCTCATCAATACTCTGGGTTTATACGCATTTAGAACCGGTTTGACTGACGACTGACTTTCAAATAAATGATGTATCAGGGACCCAAATTGTTAATCTAATGCTCTGTTAACTGTGACCAACGAATGTCAGACTACGACTGTCCCTGCCACCTAAAACAGACGGACACCAAGCGCTGAAAACATATTTCCTGCCAGCAACACTCAATTTTTCATCAAAAATGACAATATTTAAAAACAAATCTTCATTTAAACCTCTTACTCAAGTGTTGGAGTTACATAACATGGAACACGCAGACGTTTACACATCGAGGGTTCACGGGGAAGCCGGCTGCCTGCAGCTCAGCAGCTGAGAGTCTGTGCTCTTCAGAGCCCCTCGGGAGACTTTTCTCTTCAGTCTGTTGGTCACTGGAGTAAATGTTGAAGCAGCTACTTCTAACTCCAGCTGTTTGCTGACTGGACGTTTCTGTCTCACTCCGGGTCACTGACAGTTCATACCTTGTGGCAATACTTCATTCAGTGTCGCCTCTGAAACCACATCCTCTTCGACCGGCCATCCGGGCGCTCTCCCTCTCGCAGAAAGAGCACATTGTAACAAACCGACGGTGTGAGGATAATGTGAAAAGGGCCTTTATATCTGCCAAGAGACAACCATTTGTATTACTTGGGATGTGCAGAGTATATGTTTGAGACTACCGTGAAAAGGAGAAATAAAAAATGAATTCAATAACGGCTCCTTTAGGAAAGTATGTTGACTAACTCTGAATGTGAAGTTTGAGGAGCTGCTACAATTGCAGATCAACATTCACATATATTTGCCTGTGAAGCTAATTTATCATCTTTAAGTGTAAATCATAAATTCAGATATTGTGATACACAATTATATCGTCTTAATTAGAAATAATAATATTCACATACCAACTCACATTTCTCCGAAAATCGAACCAAACTCTGTTAAATTAAACTATATCCTTAATGTGATTACTTTGTATTTGTGTGAGTGCATGTTAATAATGTAAAGCTCAAATATTTATGTATTTTATAATCTCACTTTAAACTGTTGTGTTCATTTTGCAGTTAAATTTAAAAAGAGATAAAATACGCTGCTTTACCGTGTGGTTATTTCATAAAATAAAAGCACGCTGTAGCGTTGTGTGTGTGTGTAATATATATATATATATATATATATATATCGAGATATTAAATGACCTTCGGGTATCTAGAGGCACTCGGTAAAAAAGCAGAGCCGTATAAAGAGAGTGTCGCGTCAACGGAAGTTCATAATGATTGATTGTCAGGTGATTCTCACAGACTTCAGATCGTTCCAGGAAGTACTTGGCGGGCAGTTTGAATGCATTGAAGTCGGTACAAAGAGAGAATCATCAAACTCAGTTGCTCTCTCAAAGTAATTGCAAGTCTGACCTCGGATCAGTAGGAGCTAATAGCAATACTAACTAATAAACTATAACTTAATTAATATTGATCTATCCCTTAATATTGATCTAACATCTTATCACCATTTTAAAACCACGTTATTTTTTCTAATAATAAATCAGCTGAACATCAGTCCTTCTGGATTTTGGAGCTTTTTCTTTTAAAGCAATTAATCTGCCAATAAATAATTGTAATAATCCGTGCCCAACCAACGGTCCAAAACCCCCAAATTATATTTTTTATATAAATTATATATGACAAAGAAAGGAAACAATTAATTGATTATTCAAATATATTTTTTTCTGTCAAAAAATGTCCACGCCTGTAATGGTCAGATTCCACTATTTTCTGACATTTTATAGTTAAAATAATTGATTGATTCATAAAATAAAAACATCAGCAGATAAATCAAAACCGACCAAAATCATTAAAAAGATTAAAGTTCTTTTTTACATTACGTGTCGCTGAGAAACAATTCTAAATATGGCACATTCATCTTTTAAAAGATGAATGTCACAATAACATGACACAAAAAATCCTCCGACTGTGACTGTTGTGAGCCGTTATGTCTCAATATTTGAGCACTGGCCATTACAAATATGAGTGAATATGGATGATGTGCCCAAATTATGAGCCGCCCTCTTGAGCTGGTTGGTGTGGAGTCTGTCCACGGGGACCAGGATGCAGGTCTCAAATAACCAGTGGGACTTAATAGAATATAATAGAATAAGAAGGTGCAAACACTGTGCATACTGCATCTGAACTGCTTCCTTTGGATATAAAGGCGGGAGGTGCAGATGTAGAGGAGCTACTTTCCCCATTTCCTGTTTCACTGCTGGTTGCTATTCAAAAAAAAAAAAATACAGGTCTTATACAGTATATTCAAAATTCTGCAAATGGCCAGATTTTACAATATGCTGTTCCAGACTTCGTTTTTGAAAGATAAAGTTTTGGTACTTCATTGTTTGTTTCTTTTGTTGTTTTTTTGCAGCCACTGCTGAATGAATGCTGAGAGAAACCAGAAGTACTGGTTGAACACCAGGAATCTCAGTCAGCAACAGGCCGAGAGAGAGAGAATGAGCTGCATACTGTTCAGTTAGTTCATTTAATATTATTCTATTTCATTGTATATATTGTGCATTTTTACATCTAATATTTGTACTCTGTTATTTTATTTACCTGTACCATACTTGCTGCTGTAGTGAAAAAATGTATCCATCCATCCATATATATATATTTTAATATCTATGAATGCACTAATAATATAATTAATACATATTAATAACACTATTAATATATATATTTGTGCAAAAAAAAAAAATCAACACAAAAAACAACAACAACAAAAGACACTACTAAAAGGACAACTTGTGGATAAAATAAGTGCATATCTCACCCTTGAGACGGTGAGGTCTGTCATCAGCTGGTCAAAGGCCCGCGTCTCCTCCGCTTGCTTCTGGTTGTGCAGCGCGATCTTCTCGCTGAACTTCCTCGGGTTGGAGCCACCTGTGCCCGGGGAGCTGGACATCGTGCCGGGCCTCAAGGGTCACAACTTCAGCTACTACTAACAAAATAATAAGTGGTATACGGAGGCTGGGAGTCTTATTGTCCAAAGTCTTTGAGTGAGCGTTGAAGTGAATCCATCAGAGCTTTAAAAAAACAAAAAACACACATTACTGTCTGGAGAAAGTAGTTTTAGGAGACTAAGTATCCTTACTATCTGAAAATAATGACTTAGTATCTCAACATAATGACTTACTATCTCAACATAATGACTAGTATCTCAGCATAATGACTTACTATCTCAGCATAATGACTTACTATCTCAGCATAATGACTAGTATCTCAACATAATGACCTAGTATCTCAACATAATGACCTAGT